GCGTTCTGACCATGTATTTTCAGCATAAGCCTCTGATGTTTGTAATCATTTACTGCCTGCCTCAAACACATCAAGGCAAAATGTTCCATCAAATAAAAAGCCTTGCTCATTTAACTCACAAGTGCCCCTTAAATCAAATACCAATATCACTATTTAGTAACCCACCAATTGCCAAGTACTAGATGGTGTAAGATTTAAAGAATAGATTACCTTTGTCCAAATACAGACTTTCATAAGATTTTCTGAATCTATCACTAACTCTGGTGTCTTGACTAGTTTCTCGATCGATTTTAGAAAACTTCTGGGATGTACTCGCTTTTGAGTTTAGGGCCTAGGCGCTGCACATCAGCACTAAGATCTTTCGTCGCTCCTTCTCCGTGGCAGAAATGCAATGTGGATCTGACCCGCGTGTCCGTTCTCTTTTTGCCCTTTGACTATTGTTTTCAAATCCAGAAAAAAAGGAGGGGGAGGTGTTTAAATCCTTTCACGCCCTCCAATTGAAATGTGAAATAATGGAGGAATTAATTATTCAAAAGTAAAAGTGAGGCAACCATAAAACATTTGAAATAAGAAACTACATATGTTATTTCCTGGCCACTCCTATATACAAATCACAAAATGAGGGATTCTTTTTCCAAAACAGTTTTATTGGCATCTAATTCACATACCATGTAATTCAGTAGGTCAGCCACAGCAAGAAGAGTTGGACAATCATCAGCACAATCCGTTTTAGAACATTTCCTTCATTCCCTGTTTCCTCCCAGTTTCCTGTGCCTCAGCTCCCAAGGGACCATTCATCTAGTTACTATCTCTCTACATTTATTTACCTTTGATTTTATGTACAGAAACACATTAGCAAAACAAACAAACGGCAATAGCAAAGTAAAACAAATAAAAACCTCCATAGAAAAGAAAGCAGAAAATATTAAAAACTAAAACAAATTGTAAATGGCCCAAAAGGGAGGATCAGGTGTTAAATTTTAACCTGATGCCATCTACTGTAATCCACTTC